GGATACCTTTACCTGACATAGCTGCACGGCTCTCCACTTGGGGTCTCGTCTGGGAATTCATTACACTAACGTTAAACTTGTTTTTTTTCTGATTTGTGTGCTTATGCCTGGAGACTGGAGAGGGATGGAGCGATGACATGTCCCTGCTCAATGCACTTTGTACCAAGTGCAATCAATCATTAAAATGTCAGAAGGAAACACAGGAGGCTTAACAAACATATCCAAAAAGTACGATACTTTTTTTTTTTTTTTTGCAGCCCAACAGCATGTTCCACCCTTGTTGCTCCACGCAAGTTGTCTTTCACACAAAATACATTTTTGTATATTCACAGTGTAATAGTAATTTGTTCAAATATTTTTTTTCTGTAAATGGTTGTTTATTTATTGTACGTTTGAATTGTAATTGCAAGACAAGTGCGTTTAAAAGTAAATGTTTCTGTCTTTCTTTGACCATTTTCCACAAAATTTGGAACATATTCAAAATTTCTTGGTGACAAGAAAAACTGTTGCCGAACGTCTCTTGAATGTCTTTGCAACGGTTTGCGACCTTGACCGAATGCTGATTAATACAGTATATATATAGAGAGAGAGAGAGAGAGAGAGAGAGAGAGAGAGAAAGATAGATCAGGATCTATCTACCTAGCTAGCTAGATAGCTATTGTTTTACAATAATACTTAACGATATTTATAGTTTCATATGTACCCGTGCCTCGAAACCACAGTGTGGAAACTTCCTGTCACCCAAATGCATGGGTGCAGCCAGTGAATTTTCTGATCGATCATTGCCAACAGACTTTCAAAACACCCACACTCTCTCCTTTATTCTCGCTGTTTGTGGCAAGCCACTTTCTCTTGACAATCACGTCATGTTTTTGTGGTTTAATAAAAAATAATGAAGTTCTGTATACTGTATGTGGAGCCTCAAAACTCGATACTGGGTCGCAATTTTTTCATTTCAGCACATCACAGTGTGGCGCTCAATTCCTTGCCTTGCATGTGTGAGACACCAACTTTAATTTTGTTTTCGCTCTTATCGCTCAGTGTGTGGCATGCCTAAAAAGAAGTTTACCGCTGCTGATATTTTAGATGCAAAAAGAGAAAAAGGTTGAATCGCAAACTGGTTTATATTTTATATGGGCTTCATGCAACACATTTTTAATCATTATCAATGTCTTACATGCGTAAGATACAACAGCCGTAACAAAAGAAATACATACGCTAGACTATTTTCAAAACTGTATTTTAAGATCTTGAACCTAAAATCTTCCCTTCCAAGCTAATTTAGTGACATCAGTGTCTTTGGATTTTACCAAAAACAGCAAACCTCTGAATGTGAATTTCTTGCTCACTTGGGAGGTGACCGGTTAAATCATGTCTTCCTGTTTGGGGAGTGGGGGATGGGCTGGCGGAAGAGTCCCTTTTCCAAATTCCTTTAGCTGTGGCCAGCGTCTACATGGCTGGCTAAGCACTGGGCCTTGCAGAAAAAGCAGGCGCAGTTTCTGCATCCTTCCTCACTCGCTTAGCACAAGATTCTTGTCTCAGTGGGATCAAATTGCCGCCATGACTTACTGGCCTTCGTGTTGTTTGTATCCACACGCAGCGGACATGAGCGGTTCACTGCACTGTGATGCAGCATGTTTAGAAACAGTGGGAAATGTGAGAGGCTAAAGTCCTCCAATGTTTGGGCCAAAAATAGAAATCAAGGGAAAAAGGCTCACTCCCAGCATTTCCAGGCCCCTGGAGCAGAGTGCTGCAGCAGACCCCTCAGAGAGTCCTTTGGTGGGGTGGAGAGACACTAACCAATTGGGGCTCAGACCCTCGAACACATGTTCATGTGTGTATGTTGCTGCAACGAACTCCGCTCCCTTGTGGATGAGTTCAGATAAGGCCTCAGTGTGTGTGCGTGTGTGTGTGTGTGTGTGTGTGTGTGTGTGTGTGTGTGTGTGTGTGTGTGTGTGTGTGTGTG